CAAAGGTGGCCTCCAGTCGGCCAGAACAGCTCGCAAGAGGTCCCAAGATGCCTCCAAGAGCCTTCCCACAAAGTCCCCTTCAGGTCAAGATCAGTGATTCCCCTCCGGGCTTTCAATGTGTCTTGGGTTCTCCACATTTCGAGCTTCCGACGCTCGAAGACGTCCCAAGCGGCCCACAAGACAGCCCCAAGACGACCCCAGAGGCCCCCCAGAGGGCTTCAAAACGACCCCAGAGGCTCCCAAGAGAGCCCCAAGACGGCCCTGGGGCCCAAGAGGGCCCCAAGACGGCCCAAGAGACACCCACGACGGCCCAAGAAGGCCCCAAGAAGGCCCGAAGAGGGCCCCACAAGGCATCCAAGAGGCCCAGAAGAGGCCCGACAGATGCCGCAAAGCAGCTCCCAATACGCCTCAAACCTGCCTCCAGGACATCGTCATCATCATCATCATCATCATCATCATCATCATCATCATCATCATCATCATCATCATCATCATCATCATCGTCATCGTCATCGTCATCGTCATCGTCATCGTCATCGTCATCGTCATCGTCATCGTCATCGTCATCGTCATCGTCATCGTCATCGTCATCGTCATCGTCATCGTCATCGTCATCGTCATCGTCATCGTCATCGTCATCGTCATCGTCATCGTCATCGTCATCGTCATCGTCGTCATCGTCATCGTCATCGTCATCGTCATCATCATCATCAGCATCAGCATCAGCATCAGCATCAGCATCAGCATCAGCATCAGCATCAGCATCAGCATCAGCATCAGCAACAGCATCAGCATCAGCATCAGCATCAGCATCAGCATCATCATCATCATCATCATCATCATCATCGTCATCATCATCATCATCATCATCAGCAGCAGCAGCAGCAGCAGCAGCATCAGCATCAGCATCAGCATCATCATCATCAGCATCATCATCATCATCAGCATCATCATGACCACCACCACCACCATCATCATCATCACCATCAGAATCATCAGCATCATCGTCGTCGTCATCATCATCATCACCATCATCAGCATCATCAGCATCATCATAATCATCATCAGCATCATCATCCGCATCAGCACCATCATCATCATGATTTTCATCATCATCATCGGAATCATCATCATCATCAACAACATCATCATGGTTTTCAGCATCAACATCGGAATCCGCATCATCATCAACAGCATCATCATCATCATCAGCATCACCGTCATCACCATCGCCATCATTAAATTACCATAATCCTCCTCATCATCCTCGTCATCCTCATCATCATCAGCAGCATCACCATCGACATCACAATCATCACCATCACCACATCTCCCATCATCATTGACATATACAAACAACACAATCATCATCAGCATCATCATCATCAACATCATCATCAACATCATCATCAGAAACATCACCACCATCATCATCGCCACCACTACCACTACCACAACCACCATCATCACCACCACGACCACCACCACCACCATCATCATCACCACCATCATCATCACCACAACCACTACCAAAACCACCACCACCACCATCATCATCATCATCCTCACCCTCACCCTCATTCCGATCCTCCTCCTCCTCATCATCATCATCAGCATCATCAGCAGCATCGTCATCATTCTCATCATTGTCATCGTCGTCGTCATTATCATCCTCATCCTCAAACTCATCCTCGTCATCACCAGCATCATCAGCATCGTCATCTTCAGCTTAATCATTACCCCAGTGCAATCCTACCTAGAAGTTGGAGCCCCTAGGAAAGCAGCATTAGTTGCTATGTTTTGCTATGCTATGCTATGCCATGCTATGCTGCGCTATGCTATGCTATGCTATGCTATGCTACGCTACGCTACGCTATGCTATGCTAAACCATGCTATGTAATGCTGCGCTGTGCTATGCTAAGCTATGCTATGCTAAGCTGCGCTATGCTATGCTATGCTATGCTATGCTATGCTATGCTGCGCTATGCTATGCTATGCTATAATTGGCTATGTCATGCTATGCTATGCTATGCTAATGCAGCGCTGCCCCATGCTAAGCTAAGCTAAACTAAGCTAACCCTCTAGGCAGAGCTATCGCTGCTGTTGCTTTGCCTTTGCTTTGCTGCTGTGCTATGCTATGCTCTGCCATGCTATGCTATGCTGCGCTGTGCTATGCTGTGCTGTGCTGTGCTGCGCTATGCTATGATATGCTGCGCTATGCTATGCTATGCTGGGCGTTGCTATGATATGCTGTGCTGCGCTATGCTGTGCTGCGCTATGCTATGCTGTGCTCTGCTGTGCTAAAGCTCAGCGACGCTAAGATGAAGGTAAGCTAGGCTAAGATAAACCTGAGCTAAGATGAAGCTAAGCTAAGCTAAGATGAAATAAGCTAAGATAAGATGAGATAATCAACGCTAAGCTAAGGGGGCGTAACTGGGGGAACCGCGGGGCGGATCCTGGGGAACCGCCCAGGGCGATATCCACTGCCCCTTTAAGACAGAGGGTAAGAACCCTTCTAGGCAGAGCCTAGGTAGGGAATAAAAATAAACATCACCACCACCACCACCCCCACCATCATCATCAGCATCATCATCGTTATCATGATCTCCAACAACAACAACAACGTCATCATCATCATCAGCAGCAGCATCAGCATCAGCATCAGTATCATCATCCTCATCATCACCACCATCACATAAGCATCATCAGCAGCATCATCCTCATCATCTTCATCAACATCATCCTCATCAGCATTATCATCGTCATGATCATCGTCATCATCGTCGTCCTCATCATCATTCTCATAATCATCATCAACCTCATCCTCATCCTCATCCTCATCCTCGTCGACCGTTCCCCGAGGCACGAAGTGGAGTGTCCTCAGGCCCCTCAGACTCCTCTGCACTGCACACCGTAACGCTCTGCCAGGGACCTGCAGTCCCGAACCCCGCACGCTCACGGGTCTTCCCGACTCTTCTTGAAAGCTTCGTGTGGCCCAACAATGGCCCAGGGCAGCCTAGCTGACTTGAACGGCACCTCAACGTGGACGACTGGCCCGAGACAGGCTCCCGCTAAGGCCCTACGTGCTCGACCAGTCATAGCCGTATAGACAAACAAAAACGAACGTACGACAGCACGAGGAGCTGGGAAGGGAAAAACTGGGCTTTGCATGCGCAGCCATTGGCGACACCCCCCGTCGCCAGAGACTCAGCGACACCACTGAGCCCCCTCCTTCCCTGCATGGCATCGGCACCTGCAACGCAAGCGCACACGGCTGCGAATCTACGCGCAAGCGCGCTTGCACAAGCGCTGTTTGCCGTGCGCGCGTGTGCAAAACAGTGACCGCGATCGCAGAACACTGAAGGGGCCCCAGGACACACAAATAAATACACACATAAATAAAGAACAAATCCCCATACTTTCCCATATGTTCTGGGTTTTTGTCTTCCCCCCCACTCCCCATATTTTCCCGTATTTTCTGGGAATCGACGATGAATTGTGTCTGTGTGTTTGTTCCCCTCCTGAAACACATGGGCCACGGACACCATGCCCGTCCAGATGCAAGAGAAGTCCGCCTGAGCATACTTGATTGGGCGCCCGAGTTATCCGGGGTAACTCGGGTCCGGGGTAACTCGGGTTTGGATTCCCGAAAAAGGAACCCGACTTAGCCCTGACCCGAGTTACCCCTGATGATGTGGGGTTCTGGACGCCCGAGTTATCCGGGGTAACTCGGGTCCGGGGTAAGTCGGGTTCGGATTCCCGAAAAACGAACCCGAGTTAGCCCTGACCCGAATTATCCCTGATGATTCGGGGCTCTGAAAGTCCGCCTGAGCATACAATCAACATCCGCTCCCCCTCGCGGCGGGAAGCGAGGCGCCTCCACCGAGGAGCCGCCGCCGCCCCCCCCGGCAGCGCGCACGGACGCGGGCCCGCACCACGCGGAGGCGCTCGCGCTTGCACATGCGTGCGCGCGTACGGCCGGACCTGGGACAGAAGATCATCCTTAGAAGAAGAAGAAGAAGAAGAAGAAGAATATGAAGATGAAGAATAATCAGATGAAAAAGAAGATGAATAATAATAATAATAATAATAATAATAATTATAATAATAATAATAATAAGAATAATAAGAAGACAGAACACCATAGACACAAACTGTTGGCGCTCCGCGCGCATTTCTCGGATCCGCGCTGGACCCCCCTCCCTGGCGCGCGGAGCGCGCCAGGGGCGGCGCCGGAGGCGCCGCCAGGGGGGCCGCAGCGCGGACCCAAGCAATCCGCGCGGAACGCTAACCAGTGCTGGCGTTTTCAAACCTGTTAGTGTGAGGCGTTTTCAAACCCCTTTTAGTGTATGGCGTTAGTGCATGGCGTTCTCACACCTGCCGGAGAACACCGGCTAGCTCACTCCCTTGTTCGTGCATGGCGTTTCAGACCTTCGACTCCTTCAAGCACATGCGGCCCTCCGCCGGCCCAAGCGGCAGAACACTCGAGGGCGCCCTCCCCGCACCGGCCCCTGCACTCGTACTGCATGAAGAGGCCCTGGGACACACAAATAAATAGACACTAATAACAGGACTCTCCATATTTTCTCATATTTTCTGGGTTTTTGTCTTCCCCCCACTTCCCATATTTTCGCACATGTTTCTGGGAATCGACGATTAATTGTGTCTGTATGTTTTTCCCCTCCTGACTGTACTGCTCTACATGACGCAGGCGCCGGTGCCGACCTGCCCCCAGCAGCGCCAGCGCGGCCCCGCGGGCCGCAGCCCGCGCTGCGCGGCGGTCCGCCACCGCCGCCATCGGAGGCCCGCGGCGGGCCAGGCCCCTCCCCCCCCACCTTATGGTGGCGGTGGAAAACGGGCCCATCACTTCAGGGCCTTTTTCTCTCTTCGCCCCGCACTTGGGGCACCCCCCGTTGCCAGCCGCCCGATGCTCGTGCCTGCGCACGCTCCAGCCGCGGCACCCCCCCTGCCAACGCGCAGAGCCCTGCCCTGCCCCTGCCTGAGCGTGGCCATGGAGACGTCGCCTCCGACGGACACGTTGCCGAAGAAGCGGAAGCTGGCCGAGCGGGCGGTCTCAGAGAAATCGTTGATGACGTTCTTCACCTCGAGCAGGGAGGGGGCAGGGGCCCAAGGTAACGGGGAGGGGGGCGATGGGATCCCCCTCCTCCTCCTGACCTTCCTCCTCCCCCTCTCCCCACCTCGTCCCTCTTCCCTCCAGAGAAAAATGCGACAATGAGGAAGTGAAGGAAGCGAAAGGGAGGGAGGGGTGGAGGGAGCGGAGGGGAAGCGACGGAGGAGGATCAGGATGACGATGAGGACGACGAGGACAAGAAAAACGAAGAGACAAGACTGGCGGAGAGAATGAGGAGAAGGATGAATCAATAAACAAATGACGCTCAATTGGCAGTAAAGGTATCTGTCCAATAAGACGTGGAGCGAGGCCTTAAGACCAATCCGCCTTCGATGAGACAAAGACGCCCAGACGCAATACACCTGGAATGCATCAGCGATGCAGCACTACACCCCCCCGTCCCTGCATGCAGCAATACAGCAATAATTACAACCCCCTCCCCACAAGTCCCTGCATGCCTTCGTTTCCACTCGAAGAAGAGCCCCCCCAGAAAGGCGAACACCCCATAGGCCTGCCGTTCGTGTGCGCGTGTGCGTGTGCGTGTGTGCGCGTGCGCGTGTGTGTGCGCGTGCGCGTGGGCGTGCGCGTGCGCGTGTGTGGGCGTGCGCGTGCGCGTGTGCGCGTGCGCGTGCGCGTGTGTGGGCGTGCGCGTGCGCGTGTGCGTGTGCGTGTGCGCGTGCGCGTGCGTGTACGTGCACGTATACATATGCGCGTGCGCGTGCGCGTGCGCGTGTGCGTGTGCGTGTGCGCGTGCGCGTGTGCGTGTGCGTGTGCGCGTGCGTGTGCGAGTGCGCGTGCGCGTGCGCGTGTGCGTGTGCGTGTGCGCGTGCGTGTGCGAGTGCGCTTGCGCGTGCGCGTGTGCGTGCGCGCGTGCGCGTGTGCATGTGAGTGCGTGCGCGCGCGTTCGCGAGAGCGCGCGTGCGCGCGTGCGCGCGTGCGTGCGTGCGTGTGTGCGTGTGCGTGTGCGTGTGCGTGTGTGTGTGTGTGTGTGTGTGTGTGTGTGTGTGTGTGTGTGTGTGTGCGTGTGTGCGTGTGTACGTGTGTGCGCGTGTGTGCGCCTGTGTGCGCGTGTGTGCGCGTGTGTGCGCGTGTGTGCGCGTGCGTGTGCGTGTGTGTGCGTGCGCGCGCGCATGTGTGTGTGTGTGTCTGTGTGCGTCTGTGTGTGTCTGTGTGTGTCTGTCTGTGTGTCTGTGTGTCTGTGTGTCTGTGTGCCTGTGTGCCTGTGTGCCTGTGTGTCTATGTGTGTGTGTGTCTGTGTGTGTGTCTGTGCGTGCGCGCGTGAATATGTGTATATGTGTGTGCGTGTGTATGTGTGTATGTGTGTGCGTGTGTGCGTGTGTGTGTGCGTGTGCGTATGCGTGTGCGTGTGCGCGTGCGCGCGCGTGTATGTGCGTGCGTGTGTGTGCGTGTGCGTGTGCGTGTGTGTGTGTGTGTGTGTGTGTGCGTGTGTGTGTGTTGTGTGTGTGTGCGTGTGCGTGCGCGTGCGCGTGCGCGTGTGCGTGTGCGCGTGTGCGCGTGTGCGTGTGCGTGTGCGTGGTCGTGTGCGTGTGCGTAATGCGTGTGCGTTGCGTGTGTGTGTTGTGTGTGTGGCGCGTGTTCGTGGATGTGCGTGTTCGTGGTTGCGTGTGCTTGAACGTGGCACGTGTGCGGTTGGGCGTGCGCGTGCGCGTGTGCGCGTGCGCGTGAGCGTGCGCGTGTGCTGCGTGCGGTGCGTGTGCGTGCGAGTGCGCGTGCGCGTGCGTGGCCGCGTGCGCGGCGCGCGCGCGTAATGTGTGTTTGGTGTGTGTGTGTGTCTGTCCTGTCTGTCCTGTCTGTGTCTATGTGTTGCGCGTGCGCGTGCGGGTGCGCGTGCTGTGTGCGTGTCTGTTGCGTGTGGCGCGTGCGCGTGCGCGTGCGTGTCCGGTGTGCGCGTGCGCGTGCGTGCGTGTGCGCGTGGCGCGTGTGTGCGTGCGTATGCGCGTGTGTGCGTGTGTGCGCGTGTGCGCGTGTGCGTGTGTGCGCGTGCGCGTGTGTTCGTGTGTGCGTGTGTGCGTGTGTGCGTGTGTGCGCGCGTGCGTGTGCGCGTGTGTGTGTGCGTGTGTGCGTGCG